TACTTGGATTCACTGGGTGTGAAGGCACTCAAAAGACCCCTAAGACTCTGCCTTCTGGTATTCAGCCTACTTCACTTTGCTCTAAGCAATAGAACTTGGCAAAGACAAGAAGATATGTGTGATTAGGTTTACATTATTACATATATCGAAAACAGTGGCTCTGTGGCCCACTGGAATCTCTCTCTTTCCCTTTCTTTTCTGAAGGATAAAAGCAGTCATACTGGGGAAGTTCACAGGACACAAAATCTGGGGTGGTCTCTAAGAATCAGGCACAGCTTCTAGCCTCTAGCTAGCAAAAAAATATAAAGGCCATAGTGCTTCAACTTCAAGAACTGAATCTTCCAGCAAAGAACTAAATCTGCCGACAACTGTGTGAGTTTAGATGTAGACCTGACCCCATTTGAGCCTCCATGTGAGAATTTTATCCTGACCCTTTGGTTGCGGTCTTCCACGGGTTCCATCTAAGCCAAGGCCAGAATCCTGACCCACAAATGCATGTTGTTTCAAGCCACTAAGTTTGTGACAATATTGTCTGCCCAGCAATAGTTATGTCATGAGTTTAAGAGAGGAAAAGAAGACGAGAAATAGAGTAGAGAGAAGGGAATGTATTTGAAATACTGATAGTATTTTCCACATCCAAATACAACAATTTAAATTATACCAACTGTAAAAGAAAAGGGAGTCAGAGAAGAAATTAGATTTTTTTGGACATTCTGAAAAGAAACAGATTGAGGAAATTTACACTTAAGTAGCTTACTTAAGGCATGCCATATAAGAGCTATAACAAATCTTGTAAAATAAATGCAAATGAAAACAAATGGTCTAAACTCTTGGATTTACTTTCTTTTTTTTTTTTTTGTTTTTTGCTTTTTGGGTCACACCCGGCGATGCTCAGGGGTTACTCCTGGCTCATGCACTCAGGAATTGCTCCTGGCAGTGCTCAGGGGACCATATGGGGTGCTGGGAATCAAACCTGTGTCGGCCATGTTGGCTGCGTGCAAGGCAAGCGCCCTACCCGCTGTGCTATCGCTCCAGCCCCTTGGATTTACTTTCATAGCATGTTCTGTTCTGTTTTTCAATATGAGCACATTAGCTTTTGAGAATCGTAACAAGTTCATTGAAATGCAAGGCAAGTATTTTAATCCTCTTTGCTGACCACTTTTCTGGAAAGAATAAGAGAACATGAAGAAGAGCCCATTCCATCTAAGTTCCCTTAAAGACTCCCAAGAGAAGAGCATTCAATTTTACCAACTTCAAGCACTCTGAAATACCATGGTTATGGTATTATTGGAAATGCAGGATTATATATTTTTTATCTTATCTTTCAAAAAATGATTTACCAGGGATGACACCCTCTTTTATAGTCCTTATGAATAATCCAAGGACTCCTGTGAGATACAGAAATAGAGTTTGCATGGTTCTTTCATTTTTCCACGAGTTTCCTCGCTGTCTAGAAAACATCATGACACACAGCCCAGGCAAATGATCATCCTCAGAGATTCTGTGTTCTACCTTGATATATCTTGAGAAAAAAAATAATTGATATGGCACAGGCAATTAATGTGGTCTCTACGACTCTTCTTATCTATTTTTGCAACAGTGTGTGTACTTCGGTTTCTGCTGTGATGTGGCCTATAAATCAAGTCATACAAGAAGTCATCAGGAGCCAGGAAGTGCTCTAAGAGAAATGATGTAATATTTAGTGTTCCTGTTGCTGACCAAGATACTCAGCTTAAAATAAATGACTTTATGAGAAAAGTGGTTACAAAGCACTTATAAACAAGTGTAATTAAAATTAGAGAAATAATGTTAAATTGTATCTAAGCATGCACAAATTGGTGCATGAAATCCTTATGCATTATAGACACAATATACCAACATAATTCCACACACAGTTATATGTCTAAACTGAAATTAATATACTAGCCAAAATAAACATTTAAATAATAAACAGAAATGATGTGCCTGGGGGTATGGTGCTGTCAGCAGGTCTAATTGTACCTGTGAGGCGAGTCATCAAGAGCCTGATCATGCCTTCAGACTTCCAGATATCCTAAAATTGCTGCTGTGCCTTTGGCCAGACCCCAAAAATTTGGGGCAAAGTTTACCAAGAAAGTAAATGACCAAAAGTTAGGTATGTGGGAGAAATACCCACAAACCACCTCCGGCTCAGCTATATAATTGGAGGCATGGCCTCTCTGGTTCCTAATCGAACTGTTTAACGGCCATGATCCCAGAGACTCAGAAACAAATACTGAAACCCAGTGGCTTTTGGCAGAAATGCATCCGGTCCCTGCAGTAGGTTACCAGCACCGGACCACCCCAGGTGGGAGTAGGGTTCATGGTTTGGCCTGTTCCCCCTGACAGCCCAGTGGCCATCAGCCTCCAGAGGCCATTGTACAGTCAGGTTTGGACCTGCAGTGACGAGACACGTGGGGACTCATTGGATGGAGATGGAGCCAGCCCTTTCCTCCACATCCCAACAAGATACCAAGTCGCCGCCCATAAATGGCCTCTCTGACTCCTGATCAAGCTGCTTAATGGCCATGATCCCAGACACTCAGAAGCAAATCTCAAAATCCAGCGGCTTTTGGCAGAAATGCATCCAGAACCTGCGTAGGTTACTGTCGCCAGGCCACCGCAGGGGGGAGAGGGTGCTGTCCCTCGGTCTGCTCCCCCTAGGCGGCTCGGTGGCTGCCATCTTCCAGAGGCCACTGGACAGTCAGGTTTGGGCCCTCAGTAATGAAACACATGGGACTTCACAGGATGGGGATGGAGCCGGCCCTTTCCTCCCCATCCCAACAAGACCCTGAGTCGCCACGCACAAACGGCCTTTCTTGCTCCTGATCAAGCTGCTTAACGACCATGATCCCAGAGACTCAGGAACAAATCTCAGAACCCAGCAGGTTTGGGCAGAAATTCCTCCAGATTTAATTGTTTAAATTTTGCAATTCCTAAATCACGCAGCCACTACTGCAGCCACACGACATCATATGTTATTCATAACCAGCAATAGAAAACAAATTGTCTACTGTTGCCTTTTCGGCAGATCTGAGTGTTGGGGTAAAATCCCAAATAATAATGGTGGGTCTTGTGTCAAAATATTAAATGTAATCAAAGGAGAGAGAGAGAGAGAGAGAGAGAGAGTAATATGGAAATTATCTGACCCACAGGTAGGGGGAGGGTGTGGGATGGGGGCATACTGGGGTTTTTGGTGGTGGAGAATGGGCACTTGTGAAGGTAGTAGTGTTTCATTGTATGACTGAGACTTAAACCCAAAAGCTTTGTAACTGCTCTCACAGTGATTCAATAAATAAAATTATAAAAACAGGAAAAAAAGGAAGGTGGAGCTCATGCCCAATTCAATCAGCCTAATCAGTGACTAAATAAATAGCAGTACTCCTACATAGGGGCTGGAGCGATAGCACAGTGGTAGGGCGTTCGCCTTACACGCGGCCAACATGACCGACCCGAGTTCAATTCCTCTGCCCCTCTCAGAGAGCGGTCATGGAAGCCCTAGCCAATCAGGGCGTACAAACTCAATACATCAGGATCCTTCGTGAGCTCTATTGCGGATTCACTACCAAGATCTCACTATTCTACAAAGAAGTAATCATCCATATCAAGAGAGGGGTTCGGCAGGGTGATACCATTTCACCAAAACTCTTCAGTGCCACCCTCGAGAACATCATGCGACGACTAGAATGGGAAAACATGGGAGTGAAGATAGATGGTCGGCAACTACACCACCTCCGCTTTGCTGATGACATCGTTCTAATAACACCAAACATCAGCCAAGCTGCACAAATGCTTGCGGACTTTGACCGTGAGTGTGGAAAGGTCGGACTACAGCTGAATCTTACGAAGACAATGTTTATGAGAAACAGCCTTGTTCCTGACGCTCCATTCGCTCTCAACGGAACCACCATCTCCGAATGCAACAGTTATATATACTTAGGTCGAGAAATCAACATGATGAATGACCTGGCACCTGAGTTACGCAGGAGGAAGAGAGCGGCTTGGAATGCCTTCAAGAGCATTGAAGAAATAACTAAAAGGACAAAGAACCTCCAGCTACGAGCACATCTCTTTGATTCCACTATTCTTCCTGCATTAACATATGCCTCAGAGACCTGGACCCTACGAAAACAGGATGAGAACGCTATTCGGGTCTCTCAAAGAGAAATCGAAAGAACTATGCTTGGAATATCACGATTCACTCAAATGAGAGATAGAATCCGGAGTTCTGATCTTCGTCAACGCTCAAGAATCAGGGACGCTGTCTCATTTGCCAAGACATCAAAAATCAGATGGGCTGGACATGTAATGAGGTTTACAGACAACCGCTGGACTAGAGCCATTACTGATTGGATTCCACGAGACATCAAAAGATCACGTGGACGCCCACCTATAAGATGGTCAGACTTCTTCGTCAAGACCCTAAATGATCGGTTTGAGGCTCTACATGTTCCCAAAACGAACAGATACCATTGGGCTACGCTAGCACGCAACCGGGATGAATGGAGATGTTACTGGCACCCGCTCGAATAAATCGATGAATAACGGGGATTAAGTGATTAAGTGATATATATATATATATATATATATATATATATATAAAACCTTTGGGCTGGAATGATAGCACAGCGGTAGGGCATTTGCCTTACAAGCAGCCAACATGGCCGACCCAAGTTCGATTCCTCCGCCCCTCTCAGAGAGCCCGGCAAGCTACCGAGAGTATCTCACCCGCACGGCAGAGCCTGGCAAGCTCCCCATTACGTATTCCATATGCCAAACACAGTAACAACAAGTCTCATGATGGAGACGTTACTGGGCCCGCTCGAGCAAATCGATGAACAACAGGAGGACCGTGATCTTATATATATAACCTTTATGCAGGGCGTGGACTCTCTGGTAGAACTGAAGAGGCAGCTGCAGGAGAAGGATGCAGAAAGGCAGAAGATCACGTGGCCAGCTAAAGACCAACTCAATTCACTTACCTTCTCTTGCAGCCTGATGTTATCCCACACTTTGCTGCACACCATACACTCAAACGCATCGATGTAATTGTCCTGATGCACATCTTGCACTCCCCAGGTCCGTTCCCGGAGGGCCTTGAGGAGTCTTGGGTTAGAGATCTCACCCTTTAGCTTCCACTCTATGTAGGCCTCGTACTGCTTGTCATCGTAATCCAGTTGCTTGATAAAATCTGCCAGGTATTTCGGGTGAGAAAATTCCGAAACAAGAATCGCGCTTTTGTTACTGGGAAGCCAGTCTGTGATGCTTGGGGAGCCGTAGTACACGGGGACGACCCCCAGCTTCAGAGGCCTCCAGAACTTCTCAGTGATGTAGTCATCACAGATGGCATTCTCAAAAGCAAGGATGAACTTGTACTGAGCGATGATCTTATAGAAGGCATCAGCGTCCATGGATGCAGGACTCTTCAGCGACGGAGGGAGGTCTTTGTTGCGTAGGCACTCTCCGTAGGAATCAACTTCAATGTAGGCCATCAGCTCTCGAACATAGCTGTCCCTATCAGAGGGTGGGTCACAGTCTGACTGTACGTATACCAGAGGAGCAAGCTTTTTTCGAAGATTATTTTTGGATGGCAGAGGGACGAGGTATCGGAGTGATTTTAGGACTTCTATGCTCTCCAGATACTGGGTGGTCAGTGGCAGGTGGGAATGCCGGCTGAAGGTGGCTGTGTAGTTGAACAAGGTGATGACTGGCTTGTGAAAGAGCTTGTAGTTGTTTTTTGGAGACTCCTCGTGAAAAAGGGCCCAATCGTGATGGGCTTTCCGAGGCAGAGGTAGACTCTCAATGTTGAAATCAGTACCTAGGAGAAGAAAGTATATCATTAGTAGGAACCAAAGAGTGAGGGTTCTCCATTTGGATTCACCTGCTAAGATTCGCACCCAGAGTGAGAGACTGAAAATAAGAAGCAGATGACAGCGTCTGCAAAGGGCCGACAATCGTAAGACTTACACCCCACTTAGCCAGAGAATTGCCATGACAGGCTCTGAATGACTTACGACACTTCCAGGAACAAGAAAAGCAGAAAAACCAAGTGCTTCTGTCAGAGATTACATCTCCGGAATGAGATTAGGTCTCCGGAATGTACTGTTAGGGAGGTGGGCTGGATGTTGTGGGCCAGAACAACAAAATTGATGTGTACTCTGTAGGTAATAGAAAATTGCTGAGTAATGCTGACTTGCCAAAATGAAAGTATAAGAATTTGCTGAACCTAGTGCTCAGGGTCCTTGTTGAAGCCCACTGCACTGGGCGGATATTGGACCCCAGCTAGCTGGAGCAATAAACTTCGCTATGGGATTTGCATTATCGGCTCTGTTCTCTCTCCTTGAGGGGTGGTCGACTCCACACTCTAACACTGAGAGTACTCACAATGTGAAGGGATCTTTTACATTTTATAGAAAGGGAAATGGGAGGAGTAGAGTCAGTTCTGAAGGGAGAATTTAGTATTCTGTCCCCTGAAATTGTTTTTTTTTTTCTAAAAGTGCTACTGAGGAGGAGGCAGAAGAAATAAAAAGACAGCTCAGGGCCAGACAGACAGTACAGCAGATAGGGTGTCTGCCTTGCAAGTCATAGACTTGGGTTCAATCCCTGGCACTTCATATGGTCACCTGAGCCCCACCAGGAGTAATCTCTAAGCACAGAACCAGGAGTATGAGCACCACTAGTTGTGACCCCAAACCAAAATAAAGCAAAAAATAATTCTTTTTTTTTAAATTTCATTAGATAACTGTGAGATAGTCACAAGCTTTCACGTTTGGGTTACAATCACACAATGATCAAACACTCATCCCTCCACCAGTGCACATTCCCCACCACCAATATCCCTGGTGTACCCCCCCTATCCCCACCCTCCCCCTGCCTCCATGGCAGACATGATTCCCCAAAATCTCTCTCTACTTTTGGGCATTATGGTTTGCAATACAGACCCTGAGAGGTTATCATGTTTGGTCCTTTATTTACTTTCTGCACACATATCCCATCCCGACCAATTCCTCCAGCCATCTTTTTCTTAGCGATCCCTTCTCTATTCCAGCTGCCTTCTCCCCTTTGCTCATGAGGCAGGCTTCCAGCTATGGAGCAATCTATCTGTCCCGTGTATCTACTGCCCTTAGGAGTCAGCCTCATGTTATGCTATTTTATACTCCACTACCGAGTGCAGTCCTTCTATGTCTGTCCCTCTCTTTATGACTCATTTTACTTAGCATGGTACTCTCCATGTCTATCTATTTATAAGCAAAGTTCATGACTTCATCTCTCCTGACAGCTGCATAGTATTCCATTGTGTAGATGTACCAAAGTTTCTTTAACCAGTCGTCTTTTCTAGGGCACTTGGGTTGTTTCCAGATTTTGGCTATTGTGAACAGTGCTGCAATGAACATATGGGTACAGATGTCATTTCTACTGTGCTTTGCAAAAAATAATTCTTAAAAAAAAAGAGTGAGGGGCTGGAGCATTAACACAGTGGGTAGGGCATTTGCCTTGCACATGGCCAACCCGGGTTCAATTCCCAGCATCCCATATGGTCCCCTGAGCACCGCCAGGGGTGATTCCTGAGTGCAGAACCAGGAGTAACCCCATGCATTGCCAGGTGTGACCCAAAAAGAAAAAAAAAAGAGTGAGTAAGCCAAAAAGGGAAATCACCAGCTTGACAGATTGATTAACAGGAGGGAGGGGGAAGGAATAAAACCATGCAAAAGTAGCAGGAACAGATATACAGGATAGATTTTTTCAAATCCAAAATGATCGATTTCAACAAAGTGCAGTTAATCAATCTTAGTCAAAATGGTAGACAAGAGGCTTTTAAAGACAAAAGAGCTGATAACAGCACTATGTCACAGACCACTATAGGACGCACAGGAATTAACAAGCACATCAAGTAATAGAGAAGGCATAATAGGATTATAATTATGAGTGATTCTAGCTTCCCTGGGATTAATTGGGAAACCTTTGAAACATGATCATGTGCAGAGAGAAGAGAACGATGTGGTCAGCAAGTGTTTCCTGACGCTGTGGACGAAGATACAATCAGGAAGAACTTATTTTCTGATTTAAAAAAAATTAAGACAATATCACAATTCAGCATAGAGAATTTCTAACATTCTTATTTTGTGACCCAATTGTTTTTTGAATGTAAGGAAATGACAAAAAAAAAATCATCTTCCAGTATCCACTGGGGGAAAAACAAACAAACAAACACCAAATAAATTCCTGTAACAGAATAAAACATTCTCCAGCAGAAATCATAAAAATTAAATATTTAATGCCAGTGCACACTCTCTCCAATATTACTCTTTGATGCCAACAGTACATCAATGAGAAATCAATTAATCAAGAAAGGCTTTTAAACAATTAAAGACCAAATAAGATTATGGTGGAGGACACATAATGAGCACAGAAAAAAAAAATGCTGAAGGAAGATCTGTCTTGGCTATTAGGTTTCTATTTCCAGAGATGAGGAATGAAAGACCAACATCTCAAAATGGGAATTTGTTTACTTGGCACCTGTTGTATTTGACCTCCAGCATCAAAAAGAATATCCATCTGCAAACCCTGCACAGAACAATCCCTCGAGAGCACCATTGCGAGCAACACCCCAGCACTGCTGAGTATCCAAAAAAAAAAAAAAAAAAAAGATACTCATCCACATGCTTAAATGTAATGTCATAGAGAGTTGGATGGTTGGCAAAGGTTAACAGAGTAACTCTGGACATAAAAAAAAGAAGACAATTTGAGAAGAAAGGCATTTTCACATCGATGTGGAAGCCACTCAGGAAGACTCTAAGCTAGTCTCAGAGTCAATGATGAAAACTGGAACCCAGAAACCTGAGTGGGAACATGTAAAGTTTCTACCAGACAAAGGTCTGGATTCTCTGTAAGACCTTTGGGAGAAACTAGATTTCAATCTGGGGCCAGTAGTCTCTGTGAGTGCTCTCTGCTCTATGCTTGGGAACCATGCAGTGCTGGGGATAGAACTCAGGCCTGCTCCTTGGAAAGCATTGGCCTACTGAGGTATCTCTCCAGCCCCTCCGATGTCCTTTGGCCCTGGTCTTGAGTTTCAGATCATAAACATTCATGAAAACTGACATTAGAAACACAGCAGACCTAAATACATCACTGAGGGGGTTACGGGCTAGAAGATAAGTGGCAATATCGAGCGACTTCTGAAAGGTATTGACTGTGTGTGACTCGGAAAATAATTGAGTTATTTATCCTCCCCCAATCAAGCAATGCTCACCATAGCAAGCATGGCAGCTGAAGTCTCTAAAGCAATGAAAATCAATTAACCTCTGATAAATCCATACAAACGTGACGAATGTGTGATAGTTTCGCTAGTTTCATGCAACGCTTTACTGGTTATCAAAAGGAGCAACTTCAGATTCAAGCTTCCATTTCTCTGGATTACTCTGTGATTGCAGAATACTGACAAATTTATTCCTTCCTTTGTATTTTTATTTATTTATTTAGGTTTTTTGGGTCACACCTGGCAATGCTCAGAGGTTACTCCTGGCTCTGCACTCAGGAATTACTCGTGGCAGCGCTCAGGGGACCACATGGAATGAGGGGGGCTAAAATGGGGTCAGCGTTGGGCAAGGCGAACACCCTACCCACTGTACCATCATCTGACCCCTTAATACTTTCTTTAAATAAGAGCTGACAAAACACTAAAGAAACTGCAAGCTGATATAAAAATGAATGCAGGCAAATGATGCCAAATTTTTCGCTCTGGAGGCTGAATTTGAAATAGCAAATGAGTAGAAGCAGTAATACTTTATGGGGCGTGTTCTATGCCCCTTTCTTTCTGCAGGGTTATATCTTCTTTTATTATCCCAAATCTGAAAACAGAAGGCAACACGCATTATTAACCCACTCTACCCTAAAGTTTGAGTCATTTATCTGGGAACAGAAGTCCCCGAGGAGAGCAGAATTTTCAAACTGGCTCATGAAAAAAGGACCAGGGGTGGCTGACCACACCACAAGATTGATTCTCTCTTGAGTAACCTATCTTGAGCACTCCCAAACACACCCACAAAACTATTATCCAGAATTAAACACAACTAGCTTGGGATAACAACAAGCTCTAATTTGGAGAAGAGAACTGCATCCACCTAGTGTGGTCTCTCTGTTTTAAAAAGACCCTCTATGGGTCTGGGGATTATACAGAGGCTAAGGCTTTTCATGTAGGTAGATCCCCAGCAACACACAAAGGCCCCTGGTCACACAGCACCAGGTGTGACTCCTGCGCACAGGAGGAAGGCCCTGAGCACCACCAGGTGGGCACAAAAACCAGAATAAGACACATTGGAAAGAAACTCAACCCCAAAATTCTGTGTCCCATAAAATGTGGTCCCATGAAAATTAACCCAACAGAGAGAACTGATGCTTCTTTCCTGTCTTCCATATTCTGAACTCTTCTACTCTTCTTCTTTCATTTCTCTTGAGTTCCTTCACCTGTCTCTGAACCAATTCCATGTTCCATGTCATGCAGCCTGCTCTCAATAATACATACCACTGTTCTCTCTCTTTCTCTCTCATCTTTCTCTCCTTTCTTTCTCTCTCTTTCTCTCTCCCTCTCCTCCCTCTCTCTCATGTGCATATCCAATTAGGCATCTTTCCATTATACTCTGAACATGGAAATTTCTCAGGTCACTTTATTAAGCCTGTACTGTAGGTCAGTCAATAACCTTGCAGTTCCCGTTCTAACGGAGCCTGGGGCCAGAGTACAAATAGAGTCCCGTCTGCCATATGTCTAAATATTAAAAAGCCATAAATCAACCTAATAAACTGTCAAGTGTTTTATTATCC